TTAAACCGAGGATGTGTTTAACACTTGTTGAAATTGAAATTTACAAGTTGAAGTTAAACTGACCACATTTTAAATAATTAAAAAAATTAAGAATCATTTAAATCCTTAACACATGAAATAATTTATTTTGTTTCTATATATATAAACAATGAGACTTTTAGGATTATTATTTATTTATATTTAAACATAACCACCACTTTAGTGTTCATTTATTATATCTAATTATATTATATATACATATATTATTTATTTATATATATTATTAATTATATCAGATTAGGAGATGCAATACCTGCTTCTGCCTCTGCCTATGCTCCTGCCCGGCCCTGTCCTTGTTGCAAGTGACCAAAATATAATTCGCTCCTACCCACATAAATGTCGGGTCGGGTAAAATCTGTCCTATTTGAACAGGAATGGGCAAGCTCTCTCAGATCGGATTAAAATAGTCATCCATAGTTATCACTTATTATATTGTTAGTTATTAATTTAATTATGACTTATTATGATGTTGATTATAATTTATTGTGATTATTATTTTAATTATGATTAAAAATAATTTAATAATGACATTTGTAATAATCAATTATAATTAAAAATAATTTAATTATGATATTTATGATAATCAGTCACACACATTTGCACCGTATAAACTTTCCCTAAATAAATAAATAAACACTACTTTCTATAAGTAAAAATAAAAAAAATAGAGTAATTATGGGTTTATTTATTTTTGAGTGTTCTCTCTGTATATTGTATATGAACATATATATATATATATATATATGGGGTAAATTACACTAACACTCCCTGAGATTTATATTTATTATAGTTTCCCTCTTCACTTTTTGGAAATTACATCTTTCACCTGAGGTTTAAAGTTTCATTACAGATTCTCCCATTCAGCAATTTAATTTTTTTAAATACCAATTTTGCCCTCATTGGGTAAATTACATTGACACCCCTCACATTTTAGAAATTACAATCCCCTCCCTAAGGTTTAAAGTAGTATTACCAATTGCTCCCTTAGTTAGTATTAGTTGGAAAAAAAAATTCATTGAAAAAAAAAATTATTTGAAAATTTTTTTTGTTAATAAAGTTATTAAATTTCTGTTTAAAAACCAACGTAAGCTTATTTTTTGAATTTACGTTTTTTCCTCAAATTAACAAACTGAGACAACTATTTGTAAACCAAAAAAATTGTCAAACAAGTTTTTATGACAGTTTTTAAAATTTTTGTAAATATAAATTGAAAACTGAAAACGAAATGATTACCAAACAGACTTGATGGTAAAAATGTCATAAAATTAACAAATAATTAAATAAGTTATCAACGTAAAAAATGACTTATCAAAAGATTCTTAGGCTATGTATGGTTTGATTTTTAGAAATTTTTTTAAAAAATTAAAAATAATTATCCTTTTTATATAATTTTTATCTTTCGAGTGGTTAGAAATAATTTTTTACGAATTAAATTGAAGCAGCTATACGTATCTATATAACCTGCCCAAAAGTTAAAATGATAATTATTTTTTACCCTTAAATGATATTTATTTTTTATTTTTTATTTCTTAACCAAATTAATTTTTAATTTTTTAAAAGAAAAATTATAAAAATCAAACCATACATAACCTAAGAATTTTTCGATAAGTCATTTCTTACGTTGGTAACTTATTTAATTATTTATTAATTTTACGACATTTTCACCATCAAGCCTTTTTGATAACCATTTCGTTTTCAGTTTTCAATTTATATTTACAAAAAATTAAAAACTATCATAAAAACTTGACTGATAATTTTTTTGGTTTATAATTAGTTGTCTCAGTTTGTAAATTTGAAGAAAAAACATAAATTAAAAAAATGAGCTTACGTTGGTTTTTAAATAGAAATTTAAAAACTTTACTAGCAAAAAAAATTTTCAATTAATTTTTTTTTCCAACTAATACTAACCGATAGGGCAATTGGTAATGCTACTTTAAACCTTAGGGAGGGGATTGTAATTTCTAAAATGTGAAGGGTGTCAATGTAATTTACCCAATGAGGGCAAAATTGGTATTTAAAAAAATTAAATTACTGAAGGGGGGAATCTGTAATGAAACTTTAAACTTCAGGGGTGAGATGTAATTTCCAAACAGTGATGGGGGAACTGTAATAAGCATAAATCTCAGGGGTGTCAGTGTAATTTACCCATAAAAATTAGATATATATATATATATATATATTTTTTTAAATCCTTAATATTAAGATTTTATAATATAAAGAATATACAATATTTTTATAGTAATTAAGATCCCTTAACATTTTTATAGAGAAAATTCAACTCAGAGAAATTTTAATTTAAATTTCTTTATGAAATCAGAAAAATTTATCTGTAAAAATTGAAATTTCTTTAAGTTGGGCTCAAAATTTCTGTAAGTCGGATAAAATTTCTTTGAGTTGAATTTTCTTAGTGAAAATGTTGAGGGATATTAACCAATAATAATAATAATAAAAATCTTAAATCTCTCTTAGTGCTTGTTTGGGATAACCTATAAAAGACAAAAAGTAAAAAAATTATTAAAAAAGTTATCACTATTTACCAAAAAAATACAAAAAAAAAGTACACAAGCTAAGTAGAATAATGAACTTGTACTATACATAAGCCAAGTACCCTCAGTGTGCAGTGCACTCCGAATGAGGCTTCCCTCCAATTCTTCATCGGACTAGAAGGTACTATTGGGTTGTGGGGGCCCATCACCGGTCCCGTTTTGATAATCCGAACCGTTCAATGTGTAAAACTCATTGAGTATTATATGCCTGTAAAAAATCACGTTGATCGGATATCAATAGCTATGTGATCAAATTAGATTTTTTTCAGCATCTTATTTTTCATCGTCCATTTTTTTATACAAAACTGATTTGATCATATAGCTATCGATATTCATTCAACATAATTTTTTACAAACATATAGTACTCGACGAGATCTACATATTGATCAGTTCAAATTACCGAAACGGGATCTGTGGTAGGCCCTTCAATCCTATGAAGGACTAGAGGGAAGTCTCATTTTATATATATAATCTGAAGCATGTCTGCCCCCACCACACAATTCAAAACAATCCGCATTGATTCCTTCAATAGTCACTGTCGCTATGCATAGGAGATAGGGGTAATACAGTAATTTTGTTATTTTATATAATATTTTAATACATATTTTTTTTGTAAAAAGTCAAAAAGTTATCCTAAATAATCATTTTTTTTTCTACTTTTTTATTCAAAAAATAAAAAAATGCACTTATATAGTTTATCCAAAACAACCCCTTACTATATAAAATTAAAGAGGGATATTTCCCTACTTTTTTTAAAAAAAAATTCGTTATTTTTGTATAAAACGATGTGCTATTCCATTTCATTTTATAATAAAACATTAATATAAAAATAGTTGGGTAAATTACACTAATACTCCCTGAAGTTTATATTTATTACAGTTTTTTCCTCACATTTTGGAAATTACGTCTCTCCCTTGAGGTTTAAAGTTTCATTACAGATTCTCCCTTCAGCAATTTAATTTTTTTAAATACCAATTTTGTCCTCATTGGGTAAATTACATTGACACCCCTCATATTTTAGAAATTACAATCCCCTCCCTAAGGTTTAAAGTAGCATTACCAATTGCCCCCTCGGTTAGTCTTAGTTGAAAAGAAAAATTCATTGAAAAAAAAATTAATAGGAAAAAAAATTATTTGAAAAAAATTTTTGTTAGTAAAGTTTTTAAATTTTTTTTTAAAAACCAATGTAAGCTCATTTTTTGAATTTACGTTTTTTTCTCAAATTTACAAATTGAGACAACTATTTATAAGCCAAAAAAATTATCAAACAAGTTTTTATGATAGTTTTTAAAATTTTTGTAAATATAAATTGAAAACTGAAAACGAAATGGTTACCAAATAGGCTTGATGGTAAAAATGTCGTAAAATTAACAAATAATTAAATAAGTTACCAACGTAAGAAATGACTTATCAAACGATTCTTACGTTATGTATGGTTTGATTTTTAGAATTTTTTTTTAAAAAAATTAAAAATTAATTTGGTTAAGAAATAAAAATTAAAAAATAATTATCATTTAAGGATAAAAAATGATTATCATTTTAACTTTTGAGCAGGTTATACATGCGTATAGCTGTTTTAATTTAATTTGTAAAAAATTATTTTTAACCACTCAAAAGATAAAAATTATATAAAAATGATAATTATTTTTTATTTCTTAACTAAATTAATTTTTAATTTTTAAAAAATATTTCTAAAAATCAAACCACACATAGCCTAAGAATCTTTTGATAAGTCATTTCTTACCTTGGTAACTTATTTAATTATTTGTTAATTTTACGACATTTTTACCATTAAGTCTGTTTGGTAATCATTTCGTTTTCAGTTTTCAATTTATATTTACGAAAATTTAAAAAACTGTCATAAAAACTTGTTTGATAATTTTTTTGGTTTATAAATGGTTATCTCAGTTTATAAATTTGACGAAAAGACGTAAATTCAAAAAATGAGCTTTCGTGGGTTTTTAAACAGAAATTCAAAAACTTTACTAACAAAAAAAATTTTCAAAATTTTTTTTTTCTAATTAATTTTTTTTTAATGAATTTTTTTTCCAACTAATACTAACCGAGGGGGCAATTGGTAATGCTACTTTAAACCATAGGGACGGGATTGTAATTTCTAAAATGTGAGAGGTGTCAATGTAATTTATCTAATGAAGGCAAAATTAGTATTTAAAAAAATTAAATTGCTAAAGTGAGAAATCTGTAATGAAACTTTACACCTCAGGGAGAGATGTAATTTTCAAAAGGTGAAAGAAAACTGTAATAAACATAAACCTCAAGGGGTGTCAGGGTAATTTACCCTTTATTTATTTATATATTATTAACAATTTAAAAATAAAAATAAAAATAAAGTTACATCACTTGCCCACGTGTCCAAGTGTAGCAGACTGCTTTTAAAGAAGATTTCATTAGTTTTTTCACTTCCAGCGTATGCATACCAGCACAATACCTACAATCTGAGTCAATAGCACCAATGTCCGAGTCAAGGCCTCACCGTGACTCACCTCTCTCAAACATAACCAAACCCACCTCATCTTCCTCCTCCTCCTCCTCCTCCAGTTTTTTACTACTATCTTTCATTGTTGTGGCACCTGTAATAGCCGGGGTGATTCTCTATCAACTCGACTCGTTCGACCCAGCTCCTATGCCGACTCACGAGTTCGCTCAGGACCCCGTGTTCGTGCCGAAGCAGAACTCTCGCATGCTTCAGGGTGCAGAGTTGATCGGAGTCGGGCAGTTGTTGGCACCCGAAGACCTTGCTTACGACCCGGACTCGGGACTCGTCTATGCGGGTTGTGTTGATGGGTGGATCAAGAGAGTCTCGGTCAACGAGTCTGCGGATGACTCGGTGGTGGAGAACTGGGTTAACACGGGTGGTCGACCTCTCGGACTCATTCTTGGACACAACAATGATCTCGTCATTGCCGACGCAGACAAGGTTTGTATTATTGTTATTTTTTCAAATATTTTGTTTTGTTATTCAGTTTTTGAAATCAAATTTTAATGTTTTTTTTTTAGTGATTTTTTTAATAATTTGATGAATTTTTTTATTTTATTTTTTACATGCATCTTATTTAAATCTACCAAAAAATAATGAATAGGTATGGAACAGTAGCCTACTGTAACTTTAGGATACAAGAGATAATATATACAAATTGAGAGACATTTTCATATAAATTCTAATTTATGAATTTATACTCTATTAAGTTGTAATTAAGTTTTTTTTATCATCAACTTTTATTAAATTTTAATAATCAAAATTATCCTTTAAATAATAATTGTTTATAATTTATAATTATATATAATATATAAAGAAACATGATGATGATTTGATATTTATTTTGATTTTTAAAATTTTAAAATATCAACTTTTAAATTGAAAAAATTAAAAAAAAAATATGTGTAAAAAAAATTAATGTTTTTTTTAAAAAATATTTAAAAAACTAAATTATTTTTTTATCCAAAATTAAAAATTTTGTATCTATAAATGAGCATGATAATGGACATTGATGTATAATATTGAATTTTTTTTTAAAAAAATTTTAAAAAAAAATTGATAATGTTCTCAATTTTAAAACTAAAAAAAAAAATTGATAATTTTTTGGATTTTATTAGATGGTTAAATCAAACCAATAAGTAAGAGAGTAAAAACGTTTAATCTCATACTCTATTTTTTTATTAGTTAGTGAAACAATTATCTAGAATATTATCATGCAAAATTAATCAATGTGTTTGATTTCAGTTTTCTCAATTGAGTTTTTTAAAAATTGAGTTTTTTATTTTTCGCATTTTTTTAAATTTTTAGTGAATATTTTTTAAATTTTAAGCAATTTTTTACTTTTTTAACTGTACCTTACTTAGATGTATCTAAATAGTAAAATATTTATAAACAAATATTTTTAAAAATTAACAAATACACAAAATACGAAAAATGTACTGAATTTTTATTTTAATTTTTTTGTATTTAGTGTATTTTTTTTAAAAAAATTCACAAATATTATATTTTTTAAGTGTATTTATGTTAGATGTGTCTAAAAATTTAAAAAAAAAATTGTTTAAAATATTAAAAAAATAGACACTTTTTCATAAATCATTTTTCACCTATTTATATTCCATTTAGTTCACATTATTTTCTTATATTCTAATAAGTCTTATAGGTGACACAATTATCAAAATACTCCTAATTCCGTGATGTAAATGTTCACACTACCAATATGAATGTTAACATGTCAATGTGAATATTCACATTATAAAATATGAATGTTCACATCACTAAATTGCTAATCATTCAAAAAATATTTGTAAGGGTAGAAATGTCCATAAAATACCTTTAATATAAGAATTAGAATTTGGTAAATCAAATGTCCAAATAATAAGACTTTAGGGACTTACTTTTTTAGCCAATTAGTCAAAAAGTTACTAAATTAGCCAAAAAGCCAACAACTCATACCAAAAAGTCAAAGATTCTCTTTTCTCTCTACTTTTTACACATCTTTTCGTAATTAACCAAAAAGTCATCCCAAACATACAAGTTTTTTCTACCTACCTTTTTAGCCAAATAGCCAAAAAGTTACTAAATTAGCCTGTTCCCAAACGAGGCCTTATTAGAATACAAGAATATCTGATGGATTAATTGAAATACAAACACCTGAAAAAAGATTTTTTAATAAATTTCTCTAAAAAGAATATTGAAAATATTAAAATACGAAAATTTAAAAGCAAAATTTTCTGAAAATTATTTTTTGAAAACCAGAACTAAACAAAGTGAATAATATTCTTAGTTTTAAAATTTGAGAAAAATTATAATATTTGTAATTTTACTAAATAGAATTGATTGGTTTAAATTTTTTTAGATAAGATCTGAATTATCATAATATTTGTATTAACTATATTAGAAAAAAAAAGTCATACATTTATTGATAATTTTAACCCGCTTGCCAGCTAAATATTAAAAAAACAAATAGGAGAAACATACAAATGAATCTCTCAAATGATATTATTTTATGTTATTTTATTAATTGTTTCCTTTTCAGATCCATTAATCACGGTAGTTGTGTACAATACTCCATTGACTGCTTAACTTTCCAATTTTTTCCTTCTCTCAAAAATAAAATAAAATAAAATAAATGTGTGCTTCACGTACATCTTCAATAACATCCCATTTGTGGTCTCATGTATATCCATATATAGCGCTACAAATTCATAAAATTTATTTAAAATTTTATTTAGAAAAATCAAAATATAATTCAGAATTAATTCAAGTGTAGGACTTACCATATTATAATTGGTTTGTTTGAGAAGTGGGTTTACTTTTTTATTTTTTACTTATTTTAGTATGGATTAAAAAGTTTTGGGTTGAATCTTTTGACTTATTTGACTTTTGTAAGAAAAAAAAAATGATTATAGTTTAGATATGACATTTTGTCTTATTAATTTTTTAATTTATTTTATCTTTTTATAACTAAATTAATTCCTAATCTCAAACAAACCTCTCAAACAAACCTCTTAACTAAATTAACTTATTTTATCTTTTTATCTAAACCAACTCTAAAGGATTAGCGGAACAATAAAGACTTAAAAATAAAATGTAAGGTTTAGAATTGACCGAACCACAAAAACTTAAGAATAAAATATAAAATTTTAAATTTGAATTATTCTAAGAAGTTATTAGAAGTTTTCCATAGACCACATATTGATTTTAGATAAAGTTTTAAATATATATATATATATATTTGGTTAAATTTGTGGCATTGTTGTTTACGTATGGACCTACGGACAAGTGATGAAACCGAAGTGTTCGAGGCGTCAGCAAGAGGGCGAAAGGTTGATTTTTATATATCTATTTTTTTATTAAATTTGTGGCATTGTTGTTTACGTATGGACCTACGGACAAGTGATGAAACCGAAGTGTTCGAGGCGTCAGCAAGAGGGCGAAAGGTTGATTTTTATATATCTATTTTTTTATTAAATTTGTGGCATTGTTGTTTACGTATGGACCTACCTCTTGTCTCTAAAGGATTAGCGGAACAATAAAGACTTAAAAATAAAATGTAAGGTTTAGAATTGACCGAACCACAAAAACTTAAGAATAAAATATAAAATTTTAAATTTGAATTATTCTAAGAAGTTATTAGAAGTTTTCCATAGACCACATATTGATTTTAGATAAAGTTTTAAATATATATATATATATATTTGGTTAAATTTGTGGCATTGTTGTTTACGTATGGACCTACGGACAAGTGATGAAACCGAAGTGTTCGAGGCGTCAGCAAGAGGGCGAAAGGTTGATTTTTATATATCTATATTTTTATTAAATTTGTGGCATTGTTGTTTACGTGTGGACTTATCAGGCATATTGTCGTTTACGTGTGTGCTTGCTTGTGCGCAAGTGATGAAACGGAAGTGTTGGAGGCGTCAGCAAGAGAGCGAAAGGTTTTTTTTCCCAACAATGTTTGGTGAAACGATATCGGTTTGATATATTTAAGCCACATAAATTCAAGTTATTAAATATATATATATTTTTTCTAGAGTTTGGTGTCTCTTCCGTTGGGAGATAATATGTAAGTCTCTCAAATTATAGTTTCACTTATTGATTTGAGTGTGATGTTTGTTTTGAGTTTTCAAATCATAATTCTACACTCATTTCTCAAAACTCAATTCAAAACATAATAATTACTTTTCAAAACTCATAACCAAACACATAATTCAAAACTCTTTTCAAAACTCAATTCAAATCAATATTTTAATTTTGTTAAGATTTTAAATATTTTAATATTTAAATATGTTACATTTTTTTGATTTTTTAATTTTTTGAATATTTTTAAATATTTTAATTTTTTTGTTATGTATTTGGTTACGATTTGAGTGTAGAGTTGCGAAAGTAGTATGAAATTTTGAGTTATGTGTTTAGTTATGAGCTTTAAAAATAACTTCTTAATTGAGTTTTGTTTTATGTGTTTGATTACGATTTGAGTGTAGAATTGTTTTTAAATTTAAAATATTAAAATTTTAAATTATTTAAATTTTTACGATTTAAATTTTTTGAATATTCATTGTAATTTTTCACTTATTAAATTTTTTAGATTATTTAAATTATTTAAATATTTATGATTTAAATTTTTTGAATATTTATTTTGAAAAAAAAATTATTTCCTTTGTAGTATTTTCAATTAAAAAATTGATTAATGTTATTTTCTGTTAATAACAAAGTTTTTTAATTGAATTTTAAAAAGAGTTTGGTTATAAGTGTTGATCAGAATTTTCAATAGTGTGTTTTGTTATGAGTTATTACAATTTGAATTAAGTTTTGAAAACTCTTTCCAAAACTTATAACAAAACAAATTTTCTTACTTCACATGTCAAATCAAATTTTCAAAACTTAATTCCACACTGAATTCAACACTCTATTAAAAAATCATAACCAAACAATTTTTTTACACTCAAATCATAATTTCAAAACACACAAACTCAAAATACTACTCATATTATCAAATTATAATTAGAAAAATTTACCAAACGGAGACTAAGTATTTTATAAACTAAAGTTTTTGTGACTTAAATCGTTTATTTTTTAATAATTATTAAAAAAATATTTATGTCAAAAATCAAACTTAATTCCACACTGAATTCAACACTCTATTCAAAAATCATAACCAAACAAATTTTCTACACTCAAATCATAATTTCAAAACACACAAACTCAAAATACTACTCATATTCTCAAATTATAATTAGAAAAATTTACCAAACGGAGACTAAGTATTTTATAAATTAAAGTTTTTGTGACTTAAATCGTTTATTTTTTAATAATTATTAAAAAAATATTTATGTCAAAAATCAAAATAATTAAATTTTGATAACTATATATTTGAATCATATTTATTTTAAAAAAATTGACGGTAAAATATAATTTCAAAAATAACCATCCATAGTAAA